TTTTTGTTCCTTAGGCGTTGGTTTTCCTGTCCAACACCATCTTTTCTCCTAGGAGAAATCGCATCCAAAACATTCCAAGACCATCTTTTTCCTAGGAAAAAGCTGGTCGATCACAGCGGAACCAACTTTTTCCCAGGGAATACCCAAAAAAACACATGTTTTGAGAGTTTGGCTGTATAGTTTCCCAAAGCATGTTGTTTTGTTTTTCCTGGATTTCCCCAAAAGCTCTTTCAGCACAATGTTGCCGTGGAGCGCGTGCTCACGTCGAACCTGAACGAGTTGTCTAGCATGTTCCATGTGCATACTAACATATGACGTAGACTATGTCATGTATCTACATGACATGTACATACACATAAAAAATGTATCATGATGACAAAAGAAGCTGCGACGGATCTGACTGAGGATCTAAGCTGCATGTCCGAAAACCTTCTTGTGGCAGGTGTGAGGAAGCCCCCCTGCTTGCAGTTGCCGCGAACCCTTGTCGGGTGTCGATATTCGCGTGGAGTCCTATTGAACCGGGCACTGCAAGCTGCAGGGAACCAAGGAACAAAGCCAAAGCACCTCCACATGCAAGTATAAGTAAGGCAAGCGCCGGCGAGAGTGGAAGGGCTGCAGGGCACGCCATCACGAGCCGTGGCCTTTTGAGCATTCGAGTGAGCAGTTTAAGCATGTTTCACCGGCACTCTGCTCCGCAGGCAGACCAGACCATGCATGATTGTGAAGACCACTGCCGCACATGATGCTGCAAAGCATTGCTGAGACTGGAACCGCTGTAAGAACGTGCGCAGCTGGAGCTCATGTCTTATGGCTCATAGCGTGTGATTGCGCTCAGAGCAATAAGATTGACTCCAGGGTCTGGGGTTCTGGCTGGTTGCTACGTGCTGTCACAATCTCTGCTTTGGTGGCCGAATTTGACGGGCGTAGCAAATATGACCATGACTCATGCCTGTTTCCCAGCCGCGTTGCTGTGTCGACGTGTGTCTGTAGAGGCTGCAAGCCAACGGGACTTGTCTGTAACATTTGCAGTCGGCCACACGATGTTGGAAACTCGTCTGATGAACTTTGGGATGGCAGCTCGTCTCAATAGTCGGACGCCTTCTTCGCCGCGGCGAAGCTGTCGTCCAAGCAAGGCTTAATGTGGCTGCTGTTATAGGCGCCAATGCCCAGGCCTGTCATCCATCAATCGTCATGACAGAGCTATGGTTCATCGCTTCATGTGACACGACGGGCATGCGGTCGGGCAGACAAGCATGTGGACAGAGGCAAGGCAAACATGAAGGGGGCAGCAAGAGCCCAAATTTGAGATGTTGTCCAGACCCATGGCATCAGCCGAAACACTGAACTGATCTGCCTGTTGTGCCCAACGCCCTCCTCGCGTGGTTTGATGCTTCAAAGCTGGCCGGGATGCCTACAAAGCAATTGAAGAGGAAGTCCAACATCGTCCTGGCACAGGTGCCAGATTGGCAGCAAGGATCAAAGTGTCTGTGTCTTGCATCTGCATCAGTCAAGCCAACTCAATATGCTTTAAACCTGGTTTAAAGTCGCTATTGTATTAGCCACGGCATAATGTGGACAGGCTCTGGTGAACGACTCAGTCAGCGAGCATACCCTGAGACCACTGTCCACCTAGTCACTTAGTCCATTCAGATAGAGGGACGGGAAACCATCCAAGCACAGCAAGTGCATGCAACATGACCAGAATGTCATGAGGCAGCGTTGTTCAGCATACACTTAAGAGTCACATCGAGCATAGTCGACATTCTACCCGTTCTCCTCTCTGGGCGGCAGCACTACTGTGCTGCACCAGCTAAGACCTCGCTCCGTCCTCGAAGCCGAAGCACGACTGACGGTCGACTTACAATCTAGTCACTAGTCGCATTAGCACAGCCAGGCATGGTCTTGGAATTCTGTACCGCTCCGACTTTCTTGTTTCATTCGCCCACCAGGTGCCAGCAAAAGCTTTCGCCGGCAAACATGCCACACTTCGTAGCATGAGGAAGTATGGCAAGGCTAAATCGCGCTGATCTAGCTGCATGAATTCCAAGCCTGCTCCTCTAAGCAAGCAAAAACAGCTAGAATCAAGTGCCAAGCTCACCGGCTAACCGTCTGCCATGTTGAGCCTGATTGTCGTCTGCTGCCGGGGCTCCAGACTGAAAGAAAGGCAACACACACCAAAAAAGAAGAGTCGGATGAAAACATGGTCACAATGTGACTTTGACTGTTGCAGGTGCGCTGGCAGCTTTGTACAAGCGTTGGCGTGGGAAATCGCGTTTGGAAGCGGTCGTAGAGAAACATACACGCTTAACACACCTGACACACTCATTCAGCTGACCTCAGCCTGAGTTTCATTTTACTGCTTCCGGGCGCTACTACGGGAAGCGTCAGCCTCGAATGTGCTGAGTCCTCGATTTTGTCGGGGCCCATGCGAGGGCTATTTCCCGGGCATCTCTGCCCTAATTAACGAGGCACCTGCCAGGAGCAGTGTCAGCTCGAGAGAACAGTGTGGGGCATTGGGGGTCTACAAGGCAGTGAAGCCTCCGAAGTCAGGCAGATGCTCCGTTCCTACACAGCGACCACTCTCAAGGCCGGGGCAAAACGACTGGCCCTTGGAGAGACTGTGGGAAAACGCTGCGTCCTGCAGACTCACCTTCCGCCGCAGCTCCGGATCCTGATGACAGGACTGCTCAGCATATGTCATGCGTCTGGACGCTTCTGGCCAAAAGTCGGTGGCGAGATGTGGCAACACAAGCAGATCTGAAATCCCCCACGCTCAACGCTGCAAGGCTGCTTTCACAAATTCTGGCACATCGACGGACTCATCATGTCAATTGCCACCGACCCCATGCAATGCACACAAATGCGCACACACACACACACATGCACACATACACGCACGGGCGCCTGGTGTCTACAACTTCTCCGAATGCAGCTCCAGTGCCACTTCATCTTCAATGTTCTGGGCGTCCCCTGCGTGCGGCAAGGACCTGGTGCATGCGCTCTAACAATGCCTGCTTCCTTCCCTTTATGTCAGCAGAGCCCGGACTCTCGACACCTGTCTTTCTTCCTGCAACTGTGATGCTTGGGTTCTTGCCATCTCGTCTGCTAACAGATACACAGCACTGAGCAGCAGGTCGGTCGGTCAGCCGTCGATCAATCGACTTCAGAACCCCGAAGGTGCGAGAGCACCGTGAACACAACCTCTACAGCACAAGCCACAAGCCCTTTTCGCAACTCTAGTCACTTCCAAGGTCCAGTTGCCTGTGGGTTGCGCCAGCTGGTGCAAGCCTCGGAGATCAGAGACTTCCCTAGTCTAATGCCGCCTGCTTGCAGCACTTGGGAAAGGCCGGTGTAGTCGAGGGAAAAACGCGCCATTTTCGCGGAGCCATGTCCTGCACCACTCCTCACTGGTTTACAGTGGATCAGTCCTCCTGCACGGTCCGGGGCCATGGGGAGCCAGCTGTTTCCGCACGAGACTGCAGGAGTTCTGGAGTCTTAAACTTACGTATAAGTTCCAAGTAGTGGTCAGTAACCGTAGACGGAAACAGCTTGTACGTGGACTTCCGTGCGCGGCAGGAACGCATCAGCACATATCACTCTGCAGCTTTCAAGACGGATGGAAAATTTTCTGAATTTGCAACCTTCTACGAGCAATCTCCATGCTTTCAGCTTTCAGCCAGAGCCAGCCACCCGAGTCTTTTGAAATGAGTTTGATGGGAGAGGGATCTCGTGAACTCTGCTTTGGCGAACATGTCCGAAGCTTCTGTCGCGGCGCCCAGGCTGTCTGCCGCAGTGAGCGATGAGAGCAGCGGAGGTGATGGAAAACACGACACCGCTGCCCGGCCATCTCTTGGGCCTTTGGTTGCTCCGGCTCGGGGGCATGGTGCGGAATGAATTGGTCCGAAGTCCGAATCTGTGCGCATCGACAACGACTTTTCCAGAAGCCTTCGCTTTGTGGCTATCTGGCAGTTCCAGGATGTCAGGCCGCACTCGCATGGTCGTAGCAGAACATTCCTCTTGAGGTTCCCAGGTAAGACATTAACGCTTCTTCCGCCCTGACTTCCTGGTCCGCAAGCTGCCCTGACTTCAAAACCAAGTTCCATGATGGCTTTGCAATTAAATATGGCTCCTTGTGAGCCTTGGGCGGGAGGCCGCAACCTTTTGCCGCGAGGCCCTGCGTATGAAAACCGGATCTGCTGCACTAGAAAGTAAACACACAACACATCCAATAGACAATCAATTCGAAGGGTTTTTGAGCAGCTGCTGCCTCGCTGACAAAGCATCTCGTGCAAACATCCGAGGCTGTACTGTTTGCTAAATCTGCGGGACCCCTGCCCAGACGTTGGATTGGATGCACTCTGACACTTCCGGGGCTGTTCGGCCATCCGATACGTCTTCACCCAGTTCCAGCCTTCATCCGCACGGCTTTTCATCCCGAAAGTGCCCGAAGCATGAGGATGCTCGACATCGGCACTACGAAGCCTCAACCCTCCAAGCATGATTTTCAACATATGTCTCAGCCTTGAACACATTGGGAGGGTCAGGCAAGGGCTGACTCTCGTTTATTTGTCATCGATACAGATGAACCGAAGCGTTGAAGGCAGCTGCGACGAAACAAGTTCAGACCACGCTCGCACACCCAGTACACAGCGCTATGTCACGCAGCGCTACCAACTCAGCTGAACCTCTTGCCAAGTTAAATTTGAGAGCACGAATTAAATCAAGCCTAGGCTCTGTAGGCCCAACCGACTTCAAGTGGCTGCAAAAACTGCCTAGAACTTGCATAGGTAGTGTTGATTTGTACGGTCCTGTACGGTTGGTCCCAGCAGGACACAAATACCTTCTACGCATCTTTTGCTGAAGGCATCTGGCACTGCGAAGTGTTGCAGTTGAAGCAGCTCTGTCAGGTGATAGCTCCTATCAAGATGCTGCACGAGTTTGCGACAAGTAATGAGGCACCAAAGCATAGCACCCGCAGCTTTAGCTGTCCTTCGCGGTCTTCAGCGTCCGACAAATCGGGCCGGAGGCTTCAGCCTCCTGAGGGGACGCCAAACTGATGACTCTCTGTTGTAGGTGAAGTCCTTTCGGTCCCTATCCTTGTGGCGGGAGGGAACTCTTGTCGAACTCCAGCTTTGAAGATGATTGGCTTGTACTCATCTGGGACTGACCTCGAGGCAATGTCAATCACTGTGCGTCTTTCGGTCTCTGCTGACGAACCACAACAGCAGTATCAAGGCATGACATACTGCTAGTGTCCTTAAACTCAGCCCAGCACCGGTGCATCACCGGGCTGTTACGGTAGCGAGCCACATGGGCATCGAACCCTTGGTGCGGCCCGCTCCAGCTGACTTGGCAAACCTTCAGGAGACACTCATGTGGATCACATCCCTTGAATCTTGGAGTTGTCAGGGATCTGTGGGCACCTGTACTGTACCTGTTTCTGTATGTCTCGATGTATGCATGCCTGAATGATGGAGCCAACAACCACGAGAATCTGCTTGGCTTGTACTGCGTGCTCTTCCTCTTGCTGGTGCAAAGACTTAGAAAGTTCGCAAAACTGATGCCTTGGAGGTTGGGAGGCTCCACTTGGAGTATCCCTGGAAGACCCGCCGGAATGCAGCCACGTCAGCCTTGGTCGAGTGTTTCGGCTCCCTTGGCCTGCAGGATCCTAGGACCCCTAGGACTTGGCTCAGGGTTTCGGGTTTCTGAGTCTTTGTGTGTGCTGCGCAGTAGCCCTCAAGCAGTACAGAAGCCGAGCATCGGGATGGACCAGATTGACGAATGCGTAGCCCAGGTTGGCATTTCGCCCAAAGTCGAAAGGCAAGTACACAAAGTCATATCTGGTCTCAAAGCCTCGTTCTGATTACGGAATCAAAGAGAAAGACAAAACATACAAGACCAGACCAAAGCTCCAGCGAAGACAGCTTCGGCCAGTGCTACTGCTGTCTGAAGCATGGACGTACTTCCACCTTTCTGCAGCTTAGTGCCCTACACTGCGTGCAAGTCTTGCATGAGCAGCAACTCACTACGCACAATGCTCTGCGAGCTGCCGTTCTGATCCAGCATCTCCAGGAACATCTCCCTGACAGAGACAGAGGACGGACCCACGAGCGGACCGAGAGAAACGCGTCGAGCGGCTCGAGTGCGGCCCGAGGCAGCCCCGGGCAGATGCGGTGAGGGCTTACGAGGCTCTTGCAAAATCTTCGTTTTTGAGGTTTTGCTCAGGCTCAGGTTAGCAGATGCTCCCCATCAGAACATGATCCCTTCCGGCATGGGGCCTCGAGTAATTGTTCGGCAAGTTCCTCAACATGACCGTCGTTCGATCGTCCTGGGCTGAGCTCTGACGCGTCATGTAGGTGTAAGAACCCGAGCGCTGCTCACGAACAGTGCAGCTTGATGCAGATGAAATGCATCATCTGACCGCTCGTCCTCGCTCCTGGAAGCCATTTAACATTCTTAGAAAGAAGCGAAGGTCTTCAACCTGAGTTCCTGCTCCCGACGGCAGGACCCGCAAAACAGATCCGAGCTCCTCAAATCTGACTCCTAAGGCTCAAGGCACAGAATTGCAAAGAACCTAGGCGGTCCCGGAATACTCGAAGAGGCGAACATCAACAACAGATCTTTTCTCTTGGACTTCGATCAAGGGAAGGGACCTACGCAGGGACCTGCGCAGTGCTTGTACTTAGAAGACGATCCCTTAAACGTGGGATGGTGGTAAGGATCTGGGAACCATTCCGTACTGCTATATAGTTGCCTGCATACTGTGACTGCCGGGGCCACGCCTGGAGAAAACCTCGATGCCCTGCGCGACCTTGCAAAGGTTCACATCATTGTACATCCAACAAAGGCTTGGATTTAAGAACTGGCCGCCCAGCCCTCGCATGTTCGGATGGAAAAGCTTCGAGCAATCCATGTGAGGACACAAGCATGCGTCCTTAACAATCTTTTTGGAACCTTCGCCAACGAAGCTTTGGAGCTTCCGGGTGACATGAGAACGAGGAAACACCATAATTTCAGAAGCCAGGCTGCGCTAGCCTAGGCCTAACAATGTGCCACTCAGCTCGCTTGCAAAGAATGACCCGCAAGCGCAGTGCCTCCGCGACCTCTGCCTTGGATGTCTCCCCCATGGAATGGGTCCTTGGGATGGCATTCCACAATGCACACTCCACTAGCCACTCCCTGATGCAGTTTATTGCTTCGAGGAACGTCTCAGAGGTCTGTCCAGCTCTGCTTGGAGAGTCCTCGGCTGTCAGCTGCCAAGATCTTTGAAGGTGCGGGCGGCGTCGAGGAAGCTCGGCTGAGCTACATGTCTTCGGACCCGAAACATATCTGAATCCCACACAAATCAGCTTGCAGCTGAATTTGTTTGGGGGGACGCGGAGGTGCCTCGAACAAACCAGGCTCGTAGGCCGCGGGGGCCTCGGCCTCGAGGACGGGATCCTTAGCTGAAAATCTAACCATGGGCCCAAACTGCTTACAAGGGGCGGAACTTGAAGAAAACACATTTTCTGCCAAAACTTTTGCAGTGTCGCTGCTCATGTTTCGCAAGCATGATTCCCGGTACCGTGCTGACTTGCAATCTGCGGCATGAACCACACACGACATGTGATGATAGGCAGCTTTGCTGCACACAGCATTGGCGTGCATTTAGCAAAGCACCCTTGCCGTGACTGAACCGTGGCCGAGGATCACTTTGTGCCCGGCGCAGGGATCTAAATCGCTGTCGGGCACCTGGGTGTGGAGTGCTACATCTCAGGTGTGGCTGAGGATTTGGTGCGCTGTGTGTGTGTGTGTGACTACACACAACAGGCTCCCCACTTGCAAAATCGCCACCAGATGTTTGGACTTTAGTTCACGTGGTCTTTGGGGGCTGACAGGCTGACAGTTTTGCTTGAGCGCTGAAGCCGTCCATGACGTCCAGGAAGGTGCTCTTGACAACCAGCTGATGGTTGCCAGATTCGAGCTCATCCTCCTTTGAAACGCTGGAGGTTGAGCTGGGAAACCGATATTAACTCCTGCGTGTGTCCACGGCCACCTCCTACTGCTCTTGTTCCTCGGCTGACCTCAGCATTCGGACCACTTTTGATCTGAATACTGGTTGTTTTTGCTCGTCCCTGCTGGTTGTTTGTGTGTGTGTGTGTGTTTCTTTGCTGCTGCTGTGGCTAGAAGTAGCTGTTGACTGTTGACAGTTACAGTAGAAGGAACTGCTGCGGAGTGGGTTCTTGAGTCTAGCAACAGGAGAACTCCGTCTCAGCCCTACAATGCAGAGGGGCTCCTTTGGCGGAGCTATGTCCACGGCATCCTCGAAGCAAGCTTCAAAGCAGTCCTCGACTCCCAGATCCTGAGGTGATGCTTGCTTGCTGCAAAAACTGAATTTTGAGCGATGATGTTGCTTGACCACAAGACCATGGAACATAGATGAAACTTCAGTACATGCATCCTCCGCTGGGTTCCGGGTGCCAGCTCTCTCCGAGTCCATGGGCACCTATCCGCGCCCAAACTGCGCGAGAGCTGCTTCCGAAGCACTTGAGCCAAACGTGCAGAATCAACACTGCAAAATGGCTGATGCAACTTGAAGAACACTTAAAGGACATGCTGCCAACAGGTCGAAGTCAACTTTCATTATTTCATCTTGTAAATGTAAGCTCTCGTTCCCTGTTCTGGAGGGAGTTCAGGAGCATTCCGCTAAGAGGCGGAAGAAGGCCGCTGTACCAGCCCGGCATGCAGACCCCTTTTCAGGCCCTACAAATTTGACGCAAAGGATTTTGCTAAATAATTTGCATGCATTGCCTAGTGCCTCAGCGTGCTGTATCGCCAAGGCTGTTTGGCGCCAACAAGACACTCTCCAGATCTAAGCTGTACAGAGCCGCAGCCAAGACAGAAAATCAAAATAGACTCATCAGATTGCATCACAGCTCAATAAACTGTTACATGTTTTCACTTGCCACTACTATGTCTTGGTACCCGGCAGATGCACTGCACGGCAATGCACAGGCTGCTGCAAGGTGGTCGCACAGGGAGACTGGCTTTGCCACCCCTGCAGCAGGCACCTGCGTCCCTCGTAAACCGAACGTAGCAATCCTTTCATGCAACCTGCTGGTCGAATCTGGCAGGCTGGTATGACCACCTAGCAGCAAGCCTTGCACTGCCTGCGTCCATCAGTCTGGGTCTAGCAGCAGAGGGTTGCCAGAATGTTGATTGCACCGACATCTGATGCCTTTCGTCTTGTCACACCCTCCCGGACTATAGGTCAGGCTTCGCCTTGCCATGATCGGCATGTCGAGCTGTAGGCAAGGTGTGCAAGACAGTGAAGTGCTCAACTGGCCCGGCAAATTGGAGAGATCGAAAATTGAAGGCAGCCCTCAGGACAAAAAACGAAGCATTGGCCTGGCTGCATTCACGTTGGGCTCACGACAAGCCATCAGCAGCTACCAATGAAAGCCTCGAAGGAACGCGCTGACAGCACTTGCATGCTCTGCAAGAAGTGCTCCTTGCGAACAAGCAAGGCGAACGCTGCGGCAGAAAGTGCAGGCTTTCTGATGCCACTGCACCTATGATCATAACGAAGGAAGCGACGCAGGAACTGACCCCTCATCTGCCCAAAGCCTTAGGAGGATCAGCTGCAAACCATGGCTCATCGCTGGTACGGCCCGAAATGCAGTCCACGCGGCCGGGCGCTTGATCTTGCGAGTTGGCGCAGGAAAGCGCTGGCGCACTCCGTTGCTAAGGATGATGGGCTTGTACTCGTCTGGAACACTCCTGACTTTTGAGGTCTTGCACCAGCGTAGGGCTGCTCGGATATGTTTCCAAGCGTTTGGCTGGCGAAGGATAGCTCCCGGAATCCTATACTGGTGCAATAAAGGAAGCTCTGGCTGAAACACGGAGAAGGACTCAGCAACACACCTTTCAAGTAGGAGCCCAGTCTCTTGTGCATCACGGGACTGTTCCGGTAGCGGCCAATATGTGCAGTCAGGCCCTGGTGTGGGCCGCTGAAGCCAACGCGGCAGACCTGAATCAGGCACAATACATCGTTGCAGTGGGTGCGGGATGGGGCGGTGGGGGGTGCGTGCACGCCAAACGTGAAATACCATGATTTCAGAGTGCGTTCAACTGGGAAGTCCAGTCTAAGACACAGGACACAACCCTCCCGCAGTGCCTTAGCTGTCGGCAGCTCCCAGTCTACGAAGCCATCGAAGGCGCTACGGAAGGCTTCCACAATGTCCTCAGGGGATTACAGTCTTTATGGTGTGCACCCGGGGAGCGACGAAGACAAACGTACAGCTTCCTCAAGCGAGGCTTCAGCTGCAGACCCTAACTAAACGTCCCTAAACGCGAAACTCCTGCCAGGCTGAGAGCTTGCTAGATCTGCAGCATCAAACGATATCTAACGTGTCTACAGTCTGGAGTCTAGATCCGTGCAATTTCACGTGCCGAGTCTCTGCATTCGCCAGGTTCACAAAGGCATAGCCGAGGTTGGACTTGCCTGAGCTCGAGGACGACTTTTTTGTGACACCACAGCTTTGAGTCAACCCGCGCTGTATCCCGGCCTACGGTGTTGCTGTGTCTTTGCTTTGTAAGCCTTGGAGACTAAACAAGCTACGAGCAAAATCGCAAGGCAGGTAGACAAAGTCGTACTTGGCGCTGAAGCCGTGGGAATCCAGGAGTTCAAGAAGCATTCGCCTTGCTGGTGGTCAGTGGCAGTTGGCGTGGGTCTCCGGGCAGCAGGCTAGTCCGTCAATGCACCGCGCTATTCCTACAATCTGAACGTCTGCTTCTTGAGACTAACCTGGCAGCAGCTCACCAGCTTCTTGCGTTCTTTCAGGTCGGGCCTCGTATAGTTGTTCGGAAGATTCCTCAACAAAGTGTTTGAAGTGCAGTAACCTCGATCCCGTGGGTGGTCTGCTGCACGGACCAGAAAGAGGCAGGGGGTCCTCAGCATCATTGTCGTGCGGCCATCGGCCTCGGTTTGGGGAAGCTCTGCTACTGCTGAGCGTGAGGTGTGAGATCTTTTCTTGTGGGACGCACCTTGGTGGTGTCGCTGACGGTCGCCGGTGCCGACTCTGGGCAGTCACTGCTTGTCCTCGGTCTATGGGCACGCATGGGTTGCATTCGCGTGCAAGTCGCTTGCTACCAGTGAAACGCTTCGAGGAATGCGAAGCTCCTGGGGTGTCCTTGCGCAGATGCAAGATCCATCTTGCCTCTGAGAGTCTCCGCAGCAGCGTGATCCGTCTGGCTTCGGTGCAGACTTTGCGTTTCCTGTGGAGCCGATGGAAGAGCCGCAGCACGACAGGTCTCCACATGTCTCCACTGGTCGGCTCCTGATCTTGCTCATCACTGAACTGACCAGGATTGTACACCGCCCCTCCGGTGTATTTGAGGAAAGCTGGATCCTGGGCCAAAAAGGGGCAGAAGGCTAATCGTCCTTGAGTGTTTGGGACACCCCTTTCATGTAGAGTTGTTGGGCAGCTTCTCTGTTGGCTTGCGCTCTCTTTCTACACTCACTTCTGCAAACGTCCAAGGTGAGGTTCGGAGTAGATGCTTCAGCCTAGCAGCTTGACTTAGACGACAGTGGAATGGAATCTTTGCTGAGGTTTGAGGGCTGCAGTGGAAGCCGAGAAATTGCTTCAGGTGTAACTAGCCGATCCCCAACGGATCTCCATGCATTCAGGCGAAACTTGGGTGGACATTCTTCACTGTCGGGGTCCACCTCTTGGGGGGGCCACCCTGTTGAAGCGCAACAATACAATTCGATGACTACTGGATGATCGGTGCATGTCTGTGCTACCCTGTGAGCACATTCGGAAGGCAACGACGCTCGTGGCAAGTACTGGCCCAACTTACGCTGCGTTGAGGCACAATGCTTTATCATCCAGGAGACGGAGTATGCTCGTCGCATTCGCCTGCATTGCTCGTCCAAGCCTTGTGAGGACGGCTTTGGGCACCGCTGACAGTGTGTCACGGTAGGAAAACAGGGAGAACACCAGGACCATAATCATAAGCTCAACCCCGAGCTGACCAACTCATTCATATTCGGAACTGAGGGGCTTTCGCCTTCTCGGACATCCAAGAAGGTGTGCTTCACCACGACGGGATGCTCGGTGTCCTGTGCGGCTAACCCAAACTTAGCCTTAAATCTCCTAAGTCCTTTCAACCCTTAAATAGAACGTGCTTGCAGGACCGCCCAACACAGCTCCGGAAGTCAGCGGTGGGACGGGGCAACGAGCAAAAAACTAAACAGACCGGACGTGCCTGTCGGGGTGATGCGCTTACCTACCTCTACAGGCACGTCGCGTGAACACCAAATCAAAAAACACCTTCTCCACGGAGTCCTGGTGATCCGACACTGTGGTTTCTGCGGAGTCTGCATGGAATGTCGACATTGCACACATCGCGTGCTGTTTCCAGCGCTGGTCCTGCACGGGATATCACGGGACGATAGAATGAGACTTCATCGATGCAGGCAAAATCCCAGCGCGCGACTGTCGCAAGAACTTTCATGGATAGGTCAACAGCTCATCTTGCCTGGACCCAGCCGCAAATTGCCAGGCTGGTCGTTCGAGCCGAAACATGTCGCAGCCGGTGAAGATGCTGCAAACTCATGTGCACACGTAGCGACCGCACAGGGAACAAGAAGATTCTGAACCTGAGACTGAGCAGAGATCCTCGCTTGTCTTGATTTGGCTGGCGATGCTTAAATCGTCGAATTCCGGTATTGCTACGAAATATTACGAAATCGTAGGTCGCGGAGCGAAGAAGTACTTTACAAAAAATGCTCCGCAACTATGGCGGCCTCATGACGGCTCTTTCGCCCCTTGTGTGGTCACTTGCAGCGTTTGGGCCAAGAACCACCTACGAATTCTATACAGCATGGTCTTGCCCACTGCTAGCTGCGCCCTAGCTGAGTGGTTAGAGGTGGCCTCGCACACTCGCAGCACTCGAGATGGATGTCGAGACTCCAACCCCATGGCACTGAAACAAAAGTAGTAGGTCCATCATCACAAAACCTCCATCAACATCCATACAGAGCGCGCCACCAGCAAGCGGCTGCCACAAAGGTTTCAAAAGTCAAGGGCCAAACCATGTAGCTATGCGCGCGTGTCCTCGGGCTCAACATGCCGAAGGCCACATACAGAATCCATGTCAACTTCAAGGCAAATGCAAGCAAATGCAAAGGAGCAGTGATTTTTTCCGCCAGTTCGAGCATCCGGCTGTGCACGGGTACGAGGGCTCCGATCAGCCTTTCGAAGAGTCCGGGTAGGAAAGGACACGTCCAAGCTTCGCCAAAGACTCCTGTAAGATCGCGGCATTAGATGGCATCCTTCAATGATTTGACTGCCGAACTCGGTCGCGCAGTGCACATCTCAGACACACAATGGTTGTCGTTGCCAAGCTGGTTGCAACTGTCGTGCTCGACAATGGTGGCCGTGTTTTGGAGAGAACATCGCGACGAAGAACGGCACTGCTGTGCGTCGCAGAGGGCCTTCCATGTTGCGCAAGGGAGGCAGAGGCAGGCGGTGCCCACGAGCAGGGTCCGCTTTTCATCTTGTGAGGGCGAAGCATCCCATATGTAAGAAAAAAGGTCGTGCCTTGCATAACTGCTCATGTGGCCGGGCCGATCCGGGCCGTGTCTTCGAGGGAGCATCGTTGACAATGAACGGCGCTGCTTCAGCTCCGTCTGAAGTGCAACACATCGACTGGAACAGCGCGAACATGTGGTCCAGCTGGCAATGCAGAATGCTGGTGTCCATACAGGTCATAACTTGCACAACTGAAACTTGCCTATCACCACCACACGTCTCGTTCAGAGCTTCAAGAACATCGTCATGTTTCGGATGATACTGTCGCTACCATGGGGAAGAACGCGAAGCCAGCGACCATTTCGAAGTTGGTGAAGGTCCACGGTCTCTTGTGCTTCCAACATGCGCATGAACACGCTGGCTGCCAACGTCGAGGCGCTCATGAAGATGCTGGAGGCACAAGAGAGCATAAGGAGGCCGTGCGATTGCAGAGAATTCGCCATCCCAACATCGTAGAGATCTGCTGTCTGGTTCCTGAGAACGGAAGGTTGAGCCAGGTACAGCTTTGCAGCGACAGCCCCTTCAAGGCTTCCGCAACGCACGTAGCTTCCTTGTGAGCAAGTGTTGGCAATCTCGAGGGCTGGAAGGTTGGCCTTATCCTTGTGCAGTCATGATATCATACTTGATGCCGGCCGCGCGAAGGAATAGGCCAACGCACGAGGCTACCCGAGGGCGGCCTGCGGGTTGTACGATGTTGTACATACCAGGACCGGGAGACATTTACTTGTCAGACCCTCGCATGCAGAAATCAGACCCTAGCGACTCCGCCGCTTAATTGAGCCATGCTTCCCGGGTCAAGATCAACGATGCCGAACAAAAGCTGCAAATAAACAAAATGTCACTGGAAGCATGTACAGGCCGATGCTCTCGCTGTATATACTGCGAAGAAGCTCCACTGAAGCAGCAATCATAATATCCTGCGAGGTTCTTCCCAAGCGCAGCCAGCATGGTCCTCCGGACAACCTGCTGTACCAAAATGGCCGAGGATGCACAGCTAAATCTTGCCTCCTACCTGTACTGTGGAATGCATCAGAGCTCAAATGTTCCGACCCTTCTCTCGGCCTGTGTTGCCCGGCGGCCAAAGGTGAGCGCGAAAGCTCAAGCGGAAGTCCTGGAGCTCCCGAAAAGGTCGCGGTCAGAGCGAGACTGTCACTGTGCTCCAAGTGGCCATCTCTTCTGGGAGCTTCCTCTGTACAAAACAAAACTGCCTCAGCAACCAGGGTCAGCGCAGCGTAAGAGCCCTGAATCTGCCTTCACAAAAAAGGCGCGTAAAGTCAGCCTCGGTGCTATCGTGTGTTCTTGGTCGGGGCCTTCAGCCTCCTGGTTGGTGGGGGAAAGGGAACCTGACGCAAGCACACCGCACTCCACGAGCCAGAACGTCAGAGAAGTCTGCTGACCTGTTCACCGTTCGCGAAGATCAGAGGCCTGTACTCTTCCGGCACACTCCTCCCGGCTGCTTCGGAAAAGGCAGGCAGTGCACTCCTTAGAGATTTGCTCTTGCTGCGTAGCATGAGTGCCTTCCTGAGCCAGATCGTGCTTCTTCTGACAAGCTGGCATTGCTAGTCCGCTAGTCCTGTGCATGACTGGGCTGTTCCGGTAGCGCTCCACGTGTGCCTCGAGGCCTCGCAGCGCACATGGGTCGTAGTGGTCATACTACATCCTTGAGGTAGGATAGGCCTTGGTGAGGACCACTCCAGGTCACCTGGCCGACCTCCAGGTGGGATTCAGGGGGCGTCGCAAGCTTCACAAAGTAGGCTTCCGTAGCATGCCTTTGCTGTCGGTATGGCCCAGGATGAGAAGCCATCAAAGACCGTCCAAAAAGCATCGACTGCTTCCTTGGATGGATGCGCTTTCAGCAGGGTGCACCGCACGGCGACGCAACTGGCATCGAAGCACTCAGAAACATGAAATCTCCGTGCCGTTTGAGGATCGGAATCTATCAGGTTGATGAAGGCGTAGCCCAGGTTTGAGTCGCGCTGGAAATCGCATGGTAAGTATACGAAGTCATAGCCTCAACCCAACAGCCGACGCTCAGGGAACCACCTGTGTCCAACAACATCTATCTTGAGCCGCTGCACCTTTGTGATTCTGAAAACCAACCTAGCAGTACTGGTTGCACTGCCTTCTCTGACCCTTGGTCGGCCAAGCAACGAGAGTCGAACCCACTTTCCGACAACAGCTCCAGCAACATCTGCCTGGTATGGGACAAATGCCCGGATCATTATGAACCCGAGAGCGAGATGTAAGCTACTTGTAGCAGCCGGTCAGCCGCTTCTCGACGTGCACCCTTCGTCTACAGTCTACACATTTCTGCCCTGTCATGCCTTCGAGGCAACCGCCACAGGACCTGCGCCTCCACTTCTAACTTCTAAACCTCCCTGGCTTCCGTCTGCTGGTGACATTTTGGGGCAGGGGACCGGGCCTCGTATAGTTGTTTGGAATGTTTCTCAACATCACAGTGGTCCGTCCATGTGACGCCCGGCTGAGCTGCACTGCGGGAGGCGACTCGCTCCTGCAGAACAACAGCTCTCTGTGGGCCCCTCGTGCGAGCTTGGGCAAGGAGTCCTGTCTTCCTTCTTTGGGATGGGCGACTGCGCCCTTTCTGACTTGGCCTTGGCAGAGTCTTTTTGAAGCGCAAGTGTTTGATGCGACATGATGCAACTGGGCTGTGCGTGCGCGCAGACCTCCGGCAAAGGACGCCGATCGAGCTCTGGGAGAAGGATCTCCGGCTCCTGTCCAAGTCGGCACAGAAGCCGGTCACAGCAGAACCGAGCCGTAGAACAGACTCCGATGTGCCAAGTCGCACTGTCACACTCGGCTAGGATGGAGTCCTGATCAGGGAGAGCCCAGCGAATCCGTCTGGTGGCAAGCTCGGGGCCCTTTTGATCTCAGCACGAAGTATCGCTTCTGAAGGAGCGGTCCGTTTTCAACTTGCGGATCTTCTTATATCGCTGCATCATGCCTCGGCTTGCGATGCCTAGATGATCTTGGATGGAAGTGAGCCCAGCTTCGGCAGCCCAAGCGCATTTCACCGCCAACTGCACTCCAAATTGCTGCAGCCATCTGTCACCTCAATGAAGGTACCCTTGACAATCATGTGGCAGGTGGGCATTTCGGCCTTGTCTTCCTGCAGCAGCCAAGTTCGAGAAGCGAGGCTTTGGCGTTCACCTATCCAGGCGACCCGGTCAAGCTTTGGTCCTGGATTCTTCATGTTCTCTAACTATAAACCATCCTAGTCAGTCCACCGTTGTGAGCCCTTTGCTGAGGTCGCTGCAGCTATGTCCAGCATGGATCTCCAGTCTCGTCTTCGAAATCTTTACAACTCACTCGGTGTGAGAACCTAGCCGAACCTGACATGAAACCACCAAAACAAGAGACCGCCTCAACAATCAAGCCGAACAAAATCAGTTGCTCCGACCAGCATGCACTGTGCAAAGTCTCGGTCCTCGTCGTCTGGCTCCACTTCCGTGCGTCTCCTGTGCGCCCGGTAAAGAGTTATAAAGGGCTCCAAGGCAACTGAATAAGGTGCAGGAAAGAGGGCCGAGTCCAAGCCGTCAATTGCGATCCATACCACACAGATGCAAAGGCCACCTCGGGGAGCTTCCTGGTGTCGTTTCGACCTCACTGACCTCATCAGCATCCTTCGCCGCTGCCTCGGGTTCAAAGCTGGATCGACTGGCACATCTGGCGCACTCGTAGCAAGTCACGACATCATCATCCTCACCGCGACCTGAGCCTCCGGCTGGAACAGCACCGAGTTCGGCGAGCAGCGCGGTTGACATTCTGACCACAAACACACTCCCAGCCAAAACGCTGTGGCTGGCCGAGGGCTCGCGAAAGCTTTCACGAAAAAAACCTTGAAGCTGCCAGAAAGCCTTTTCTGTTGTTTGCTGTCACGCAAGCCGTCAGCTTCGCTGCTTTTGATTTCAGCAGCTCCCAGCCTGTGCTGGGTAAAGCATAAGACGTCATCAGGTTTGCTCCTAGCCAAGCTGGTACTTGAATTGACCCTGAGCCCAAGCTCGATATCACGCCCAGAGGCCAAGGAGCAACCCGGCGTGCAAGATGATTTGCCCAAGCTGAATCAGCCATTTGCTCCGGAAGGCCTTTCAACACTGCGAGAAAAGCTGTACAGATCAACGCAGGGCAGTTGAGGCCCAAAAACTGAAAATCAAGGACAACCGCAGCGATTTGTAGCCTGCGGCATCCCTTTCTAATCACTGAAACAAACTCATGTAGTTCAAAAGCCCTGCCAGCCAGAAAGGCTCTATAGGTGGCGATCAGTGCAGCATAGCTCTACGGGCTTCTAAGCAAGCATGAACTTCATTCGATGAGCCACGCTGAAGCAGAGCGTGCCCTGGGGGCAACAGAATTATGAGTTAGTTCCTCTCAGGCAGTTGTTGACTCCTGGAATCCTCGAATCCGAGACCGATCTCGTAGACTGAATGAAACATATACATCATGTAGACAAACATTACTTGCTGGATCGCTTGGATTTCAGATTGGCCAACTCCTTGCAGCCTAATTCGAGACTTTGCACGGCCAGTGCCAGTGCGATACGAGGTATGCAGGTGGAGCAGCTGGCTGATTTGCGTCTGCCCTTAGTGGCAGCAAGACATTGATGCTCTCTATATTACTCCATGTTGCTATAACGGGGGGGTTGTCCTAAATTCTTTCTCCCAGACAGGGTCAGACAACATCAGACAACGGTTTTAGGACAGCCCTCACATCTGTCGGGAAGCTGCTTGCAAGTCGAGCCACTTTCCAGACTCCATGAGCGTCTGTACTGTACAGGAACGTGGGAAACGTATCCTCGGCTGTTCTCTAAAGTATCACCCCTCGGCGATACCTCGAATGATAATCAAACAGAACACCACGCCGTGGCAAACGAAGCCAGCCCCCCGCGCCTCACCCTTATGACCCATGGACCAGGCACAAGCACATCCGAAGTTTGTGGCCTTAGTATTCTGCAGCTGCGCAGCGAAACAAGATTGCACCGCTATGCAGCAGCGTAGTCTTCGGCGCTGCCTCAATCGATTGGCAATGGATCGGACTTCCAAGCATGGCCAACTGCAATGCGAGATTCCAAATGGCACTCACTGGCCGGGGCGAGGCGGTGGCGGCTTGATCTGCGTTTGTGCCGTGGGCGGCAAAGCTTTCGAAGAGTGCCAAGACCGCAACTAGCACGAGTTTTCACTACACACACTGCACACCATTCGCCAGCCTTTCGAGTGGGGCATGGGAAGGGCTGGCGGACTCCATCTGTGAAGACGACAGGCCTGTACTCATCAGGCACGCTCCTCAGGCAGCTCCAGCTACGCTAGGCTGTGCAGAACGCTCAAGCACGATGCACTGAGCACAAACAACTAGATTTCATGAATGCCTTTGCACCGTCCTGCCCCATGCTCGCACAGGTTGAGGCTACACAGCTCAAGGCACCAAAACCAGTAGTAAGTAGATTTACGTATTAATGTGGATGAGCTGGTGCATGGCAAACGATAGCAATAATGCGCAGAGCGCAAACTACAGCGAAGTAATGTGCCCCTGCAGCCGGCTTCTTCGTTTTGATTAAGCAGTTGGTCGCTAATGGTCACTGCACTTTGTCAACCTCTCGCCCTTCTCCGCGCACTACACCGAATGTCGCGAGGGGATGCGCGGGGGTCACTTTAGACAAGCCCCGTCCTGTGCATCACTGGACTGTTCCGATAGCGCTCCACATGGGCAGCTAATCCCTGATGCGGCCCACTCCAGCTCACGCGGCAGACCTTGGCAGGATTTCGCAGGGTCGCAGAGCTTTCGCGGCTTTCGCGCCGAGCAGATCACGAATCCCGAGTCACGCGCCTTGGCACTTGGAAGCGTCCACCGCTTGAATCCGTCGAACTTCTGCCAGAAGGCATGCACTGCTTCCTTGGCTCATGGACACAAAGCGTGATGCTGTATTCTGCCACAGGATTGAGCCGGCTGCTGCGCCTCAATGCGAGCAGAAGGACGCGAAGAACGATGCTGATGCGACTGAGGCGGGGTCATCACTGACCAAGTTCACAAAGGCATACCCCAAGTTGGCACTGCGGTCGAAATCATGTGGCAAGTACACAAAGTCATACCTTACATGGGCAGCTTGAAACCTAGATCTTCCCCACTTATCACTTGCTCTTTGCCTGCAAATGGATCTGCCAAGGAGCTTTCCTGAGAAACCGTAGTTATTCAGCATACTCAGCAACATCTCCCTGCCCACGACACTCGATGTATTTTAAGTGGATTTGGGTGTGACTTGGCGCCTCGTATAATTGTTCGGAACATTCCGCATCATGACGGTGCTGCGATCTATGGCACTGGTCTTCTGCTCCTCCTCAAGAAGAATTCTTAGCCTTCGGCCTAGTAGGCCCCCACCAGAAGCAAGTGTGGCATATCTTGCCAGCTCTCCGGAGCAAACCTCGGGCCCTTTATTAAACTTCATGTTCAGGCGTAGAGACAGAATGCGTCCTTCTTGCAAGGGCGGACCGGCTGCTGCCTCAGAGGCAAAGCGGTGCGGCGGGATCCTGGACGTGGGTTTAGGGTGACATTGTGCCGAGCGGCTTTGGCGACTCTGGAGCGGTCGAGACTTCGCTCTCCTCAGAAAGGCGCCCCTCTAAACCCTGGGCGATTTCCGAGGGCCCCAGAGGCCCCAGAGCCGAGCCGAGGCACCGCCTCCACATCGCTGGCCTCTGCACTCTGTCGGGACTGACATGCACAGGGGACACTCGAGGAAAAAGCCTGTGAAGTCCGCGGTGATTCCCTCAAGCTGCGGAGCTCCTGCAACGAGCAGTGCGGGGGGGAAGGGCATCGAAGTGCCCACTTCCGATCTCCTGCTCATCACTAAATTTGCCTGGTGTGTACGATTCCTCCACGAGGTCGAAGAGGTCTGACTCCTCACGGCACAGGCCGTTGCGGCCTCTGCAACCCTGGTGGCTGAACCCACTGTCCGACTTGCACTGGCGCAGCTGGCGCCACATTTCCGTCAAATTGAGGCCCTCTTTCAAGTCCACGAAGGTCGACTTCACCTCAGCCGGTGCAAGGGCCGCTTCTCTTGCAGAGAATCACCCGTCACCCATTCCACCCAGCGACCACGACGGTCTGCGAATTTGCGGCCTGAAGCAGTGACGCAGGTGCTCGAAAGCCTACCTCGTGAACACTCTCACCCTTCGGCCATCTTCGGCCCTTCGGCGGCCTGCATCTTCGCTTGCCTCTTTCCAGCCAGGGAGCTTGAGCCAACTCTGAAGACAAGCCCTTCACATCCTTGCAGGTCCCTGCTGCCATGAGTTCTGCCCCAAACCCGAGGGCAAGAGACGAACACCTCTTGGACTTAAAGCGCCTTTTGCCAGCAGCTCTGTCTTCGGGTGGATTGGACGCCGACGCTGTTGTTGCTCAGGCTTTCCAAAGTGTACCAAAATTTTGGTAAGGGCAGGCATCTTCCTGAGTGAGATCACTAGTGGGATCACACTGTTCTCCGATTTCTCGGTGAAGTACACACACCCACAATCTCCCAGATCTGTCATCAGGTTGACAATACGAAAATGTCATATCCTTTGCTTGCAAACCGCCTCGACAAACTCGTGGCACGTGGTCTCTGCTGCAAGCACTGTTGCAGGCCATCACGCTCTGCCAACCGACTGTTGTCAGTCTCGCTGGCATCAAACGCGGCGCTGCTCTGCTCGGGCAATAAAGCAGCAAACACAACATGAAGGAACGACATCAAAGAGCATGCACGACTAAATTTGTGCAGAATTCCAATAGCATGGTTAGCCAAAGGCTGCCATGCCAAGACTTTGGAGAACGGGTAAGAGTCCAGGGTGGCTTTACAAACCGGACACCTCACCCAGTCGACACTAGGCACTCCAGCATGGAGTCTGACACAGACTGGTAAAGAACAGTTTCTCACAAACCGATGCGAGTCCAAGCTACAGAATGAAGTGACCAAAGCTCACTTGCTTCGCATGAAGACAATACTAAGTCGACGAAGCTGATTCTTGGACTCTGCGGTCATTGTGAGTACGTGAACCAGGCAACCCTCTAGGCAGCCAGTCCGTTGCAGGGTCCTTAGACACTGCGCATCACTCGAAGACAGCAGAAACAGGCTGTAGCTCACATTCTAAAGCATGGAAAGCCACAGACCTCGAAGCGAAAAGCGGCAGCGCAGGCGAGCTTCAGACATGTAGGAATGCAGCACGACGATCCGGAATCATTGCTTCCCAGCTTTCTTTGGGTGTTGAATTCGGATTGTTGGAGCAGGAAACTTCTTGCGCACCCCGTTGGCGAATATCATGGGCTTGTACTCATCAGGGACACTCCTGGACAGGCAGTCACTTTTGCAACAGACGCTCAGTGGCGACTTTCTGCATCACATTCTGGATTTTGTCTTATGTGTTCGTCTTCCAAGCAGCACATTGAAAATGCCAACAGTCATTACAACTACAATAACTACAATGACCTCGAAGGCAAGCCTTACCCCGCGACTGACATCAAACTCTGGCTGTCCCAACGCCCAGTGGCTTGTGCATCACGGGGCTATTCTTGTAGCGGTCCACGTGGGCCTTGAACCCTTGCTTCGGCCCGCTCCAGGACACCTCACAAACCTGCGACAAGGAGAGGCTTGCATGACTTTCGCAGGATCGTGCAGGATGACAATCTGTTTAAGCATGATTAGGGGCGGGGGGCCACTGACAGGTCGCCTCACGGCGGTCTACAACAGAGCTGCAGCCTTCGAGGAAGGGAAGGACCATGCGCTGAACCCATCGAAGAGCTCCCAAAATGACGCAACGGCTTCCTGACGCAGGGCATCCGTAACACATGCCCTCTACGACTCTACGAAGCACCACAGCACACGGCTCAGCTGGCGGTCCTCACTGACGAGGTTAACGAAGGCGTAACCAAGGTTTGCCCTACGCGTGAAGTCGATCGGGAGGTAGAGAAAATCGTACTGTCCGGCGAAGTCGCGTGAATCAAGCAGCTGTAGCAGCATGGACCTGCACAGCCACTTGGTACGTGCTGCTTGCTGCAGTGCCGCACATGCAGACACGGGCCTTGTGTAGTTGTTGGGCAGATTTCGCATCATCACCGTTGTGCGCGGCCTCCTTCGGCTTGAATCCTGTGAACTCAAACGGCTCTCACACAGCAACTAAAGAGAAGCATGAAACCTGCTCGGCTTGACTCTGCTTGGAGGCTAGCGCAAGGATTGTGCTATGTCGGGCACTCGCACAGATGGCAGCATGGTGGCTAAGAGATCAAGTGTCGAGATCGGGCCACCCGAAATCACCCGAAACTGAACAACAGCTGCACGCACAAGACCCGCCTGCTTTGGCCATTCGCCGTGCTCCTGCTATTCTTGGATCGCAGGGGCGGTCTCTACAGCCATGCATCAGTGCTGCTTCTTCCGACTCCTCTTCGCACTTTTCTTCACAGGTCTCAGGTTCGCTGTTGTCCTGCAAGGATTTTTACAATTAGAAGTGAGCACTTGCAGGTATAGGATGAAGTGAAGACCACAGGCCGACTATCTCAGCGAATCCAACACGTAGAAAATCGCAGAAATGCACCCTCTCCCTTCTTCCCTGCCCCCGAAAAATGCGCAGACCTCTGCTCCAGAGGGCATTGTGGGCGTTGTCGCGCCAGTCTGCGAGCAAGACGAAGGTGCAGGCATTGCGGCATGGAGCTGTTGCAACTCTTGCTCTACATTACTCTACATTGCTTCGCCCAAGATTTACAAAGTGCCGGACGGTATAAGCAGGCACGGCCATGTGGCAGTGTCGCTCTCTACAGACTCCACAACGTCATGGTGGGACGACCCTCCGTGAGCTTGCAAGTTCGACAGTTCGACACTCAGGTATTCAAAGCCCCAGGCAGATCGGCCTTTATCTCCGAGTCCTCTGACTCCGAGCGATCCTTCAGCTCAGCTCCAGAGAACGCAACGCGGGCGTGTTCACAAAAGCACAGATGATCACAGATGCCAAGCCCTCGACGACACACTTAGGGGAAAATGTGCCTGGCTCGTAGACCTGGCCAGGTTTGCTCTCGCATGATCAGTCTGAATCCAACAGAACAAGGCTCCTCTGGGCCCTCTCCGTCGTCCAAGTTTCCGTCTGTAGAGGCCTCTCGCGACTAGAATCTTGGGAAGCGAGCTATGCAAGCGAGACTTAGGTCTGCCACACACGTGTGCATGTTCTGCTCGAGTCGCGCTCCTCCCACCCATCCCACGTCTACCCCCATTGCGAGAATTGGCTCTCCTTGCAAATAAAGCATCATAAGACCTCTGCGCAGCACGAAGTTCTTTGTACCAGCTATCGTACCACGTCCGTCCTGATTTCAACCTCGTTTCCCGGTGGCGAAAATAGAACTGATGCTGGGCCACTTCTGTGCCCTCTAGCTCTAGCACCATGCATTCTGCTAAAGTTTGCTCTTATCCCCGATACAACAAGATCATGATTGTTTCTGCTGGCTGAAATTGCGGTAATGGAGGGCAGTCTTATATTGCATGCAGTAGCTGTCCAGCGATAGCAGCAGCCGCAGAAAAGCTGGAACAGCGGCAGTATACTAGCACGAATGGCATTTCACAGGGCCACTCTTAAACATTGAGCAAACTTTAAGCCCGTAAAGTACCCTTCAACGTGTGGGATGTGCTGCGGCTCGTACTCCAGGCCTTGCGAAAGGTCCGGAATCCTTGGCTGGGAAATGTCTTTCCAATTTTGCTGAATCATGCACGAGCCTTGGCCCTAAGCTTGTGCAGGACTCTTGCGCTAACTCTAGTCAGATCGCAAGTATGGCCCACAATAGGATATAAATCAAGAAATTGGAATTCCGGTTTCCGGAAATAGAGATAAAATAGGATAAAAAGAACCCCGGCCCGCTCTTACCGCGCTCCTTTCCACCTCCTGGGTCTTGCGTTTTTCCTGTTCTTCCTCGGGTTTACCCTGCATTCCTATGTTTACCTATGTTAACCATCCCTTTCGATGTTTTTCCTACGAGTAGTTTCCTATTTCCGCCTGATTCTCCCCATGTTTCCACATGCCCTGCAAACCTGGAATTCACTTATTAATTGTTTATCCTAAGTTGCGGTTTGGGAGATTCTCGAGGATTAGCACTATTGAGTCGGACATAACCCTAATCAACGACCAGAAGATCCAGCTCTGCAAGCGAAGGGCGTTTCTTGAGACTGAGCCCATCCCCCATGTCCAGGAAGGTGCTTTTGACCTCGGACCGCTGTGCGTGAAGAGCGTGGCGCTGACACCGAGAGGGGAGCCCAAGTGCAGCCTGAGCTTCGCAAAGCACCTCACCCTCCTTGCCCTCCTGCTTCGTGGCACTTCCGGCTTCCAGCTCAAAGTTGAAGTTGACGATTTGGGATTTCCTGATGCGTCAGATGCTCGTCCTCTGTGAACCACGCCCCAGCTGTTCCTCTCAACACTTTCCTGTTAGAAGCCATGCGGCGAGGCATCTCCTCCAGCGAGCTCAGAAGGAGCATTGCACGCCATGAACTTCACCTGGCACGGCGGCTGTTCTGTTGCTGGGAAAGTCATGCTGAGTCTGAGGATATCTCAACAGCCACTTGATGCGCTCTCGAAGCACTTCCTCGCAACCGGACTGCAGACCAGGGCACGGGCAGCGGTCTTTACAGTGCTGCAAAACTGGTCAGCCTAATGCCTTTCTGTGCCATGTCTGACCGGGAGCCAAAGAAGCCAACGGAGAATAAATGACATGTTGGCATGCATTCTCTTGTCACTGTGGACTGAACAGAAGCTGCACAACTCTTAACGGAGAGCTCTTCCTGGCAGTCTGACTCAGGCTTTAGGAGTCACATTGAAGTTGCCGGGTGCCCCAACAGGCGTGGTTTTCCAGGCCCTGCATCAGAACAGTCATCACTGATACTGCCTTCGACTACTTTTCCGGTTATGCAACTACTGCTCAGGAATTCAGATGCATGATGCATGATCTGAAAGAGGGTCAATTCGTCAATACGTCGGCTTGACACCCATAGCCTGAACTGGCGTCAGCCGCAACGGGTGAGCCTTCCACAAGCACACGGAACGTGCTTGCACTTGAGCCTAAGCTTGCAGTCTGCTCTCCATTTAAAGGGCGCTGTGGGATCCCTTCCCCTCGTCGATCCAAAAACGTGCCGGTGTCGAAGCACTGGAGCCTTGCGGACTGCTTTCGAGAAGCTCCTTCAGCAGCACATGATCCAACCCGGAAAACTGAGCGCCAGCAATAACTAGTCGCAATCCTTTCGCTGCTACAATGCAACCAACATGTCGTTGCAGTCATGTTTGCCTTGTGTTTGCATGTGCTTACGATGATGATTGCTTTGTTCATGCACCTCGTGCTCTTAACATGGACACATTCTTTGCGACTGGAACAGCCAACTTGCGTGCAGTTCCAGTGCTGGCCCAGTGAAACATGTTGAGCATTGTTGAACCTCTGACACTCTTCGCTTCTGTACATCTGCCATCTACGCACCCCAGCTACTCTGGCTAACAAGCTGGGCATGCAGCATCAGCCGTGTGATGTCGTTAGCAACTGCGCCTTTGGCCACGTTCGCATCTGATGTAATGGCCCCCATCCATTAAACTGGAACGGATGGGAGCCATGCGTCGTGTGGCAGCAAGACGAGGAGGCGTGCCATCTCGCCGACTTCGGAGAAGCTTCACATACCTGCACGGTTGCCGCAATCTGTGCATCCCAGATCAACTTCCGATTCCAAGGGATTCCGAGGATGCAACAGATGGCAGCAACCGCGCCTCTGGCCAGTCGCTGTTCATCTCGCCGACTTCCGAGAAGCTTCAAATACCTGCACGGTTGCCGCAATCTGTGCATCCCACATCAACTTCCGATTCCAAGGCATTCCGAGGATGCAACAGATGGCAGCAACCAAGCCTCTGGCCAATCGCTGGCAATCTCGCCGACTTCCGAGAAGCTTGATTCACATACCTGCACGGTTGCCGCAATCTTCGCATCCCACATCAACTTCCGATTCCG